TATTACCTAAAAAGGGGGATCTTGAAGACAAGACATAGATGCTGGCGTCCGGTCTCCTTACTCGGAGTAGACTATAAGATATTTTCAAAGTCTTTAACTAACAGAGTTAAATTGTACATTTCCTCAGTGATTCATCCAGATCAGTCATACTGCATTCCAGGAAGGACTATTTTTGATAACCTTTTTTTGATTCGAGACCTGATTTCTTTTGCAAAGATACAAAATTTTGACATTGGTTTTGTGTCTTTGGACCAGGAGAAGGCATTTGATCGGGTCGATCATGGTTTCCTAGTTAAGTGCCTTGAGGCTTTTGGTTTTGGTCCATCTATTATTGCCTATATTAAACTGTTGTATACTGACACCTACAGCATGCTGAAAATTAATGGTACCCTTACAAGACCTTTCAGAGTAAGCAGAGGCATAAGGCAGGGGTGTGGTCTCTCAGGAATCCTGTATGCAATTGCAATTGAACCTTTTTTGGTCACACTGAGAAACAAGTTGGGTGGCATATCAACTGTGTGTCCGTCTGCCTCAGACCTGAAAACTGTTAAGCTTAGTGCCTATGCTGATGATGTCACTGTTTTTATTAGATCTGCTCAGGATGTCAGGACTTTGAGAGAATCTTTGGAGGTTTATCAGAAAGCTTCCTCATCTCGAATTAATTGGCAAAAGTGTGCATTCTTTTTACTGGGTGAATGGGAGAATGGAGGCCCTCCAGCACTTCCTCAGAACTGTGCCTGGAGTCTAGAGGGGTTTAAAGTGCTGGGAATTTTCCTTGGGACTGACCAATATATACAGAAAAACTGGGATGGAATGTTTGAAAAAGTTTCTGGGCGTATACAAAGATGGAGATGGATACTAACTCAACTGTCATATAGAGGAAGAGTGCTCATTATTAACAACTTAGCAGCTTCCATGATGTGGCATCGCTTAAATGTGCTTGACCCACCAAAATATTTGTTGCAACGTCTGCAGAAGACTTTTGTTGAATTTTTCTGGGATGGTTATCATTGGCTTCCCCCTGCAATTCTGTATTTGCCAGTCAATGAAGGGGGTCAAGGGTTGATTGATTTGGCAGCTAAGGTTAAAGCTATGAGGTTAAAGACGGTTCAGAGCCTACTCTACCCAGTGGACTTTAGGCCATGGGTATCGTTTGGTCTGGCGCTGCTCAGAACTTTTGGTGGGTTCTGCCTTGATAGGCATTTGTTTTTAATGTCTTCTTATGATGGAAAGTTTTCAGCTGATGTACAATTTTATACTTCTGTGTTAAAATCCTGGACAGGTTTTAGATTGATTAGAAATGGAAATAATCATTTTGGCCTTGAAGAACCACTGTTTTACAACTCAATATTGGGTGAAAACATTTGTACATCTAATATAATTGTTAAACATTTTTTGGAGAAAAGACTGACAAAAGTTTCAGATTTGATTGATACCTTGTCTAAAAAATGGAGGCCAATTATAGAGATTGCTAATCAGGCTGGAATTAAATCAGTCAGGACGATAGAGAAGCTCATTGGTGGGTTGAAAGCGGCTTTTCCCCCCACACTCCTCCTGTTTGTTAACGGGTTTCTGTCTGGAGGTCCTTCTGAAGTTTTGTTTCCTAAGTTATTTATTTCTCCCAAGGTAGGTTTTGAAGATAACCATGTAGGAAAATTGCTGACATTTAACAGGTTACAAGAGCTTGATTTTCAGCTGGTAGGAAAAAGAGACCTATATCAGTTATGTGTTAAAGTTGATTACTTTGAGAGAATTAAGGACAGGGATGATACAAAATGGAGAGATTTTTTAACAGTTCCTGTAGCTATTTCTCCTTCATGGAGGCTTTTTTATAAGGGTCCACTACCTAAACGATCTGGAGATCTACAGTGGAGGTTATTACACTGTGCACTACCTACTAATTCTCATGTTTCTAAATTTAATTTGAATGTACTACCGGTTTGTTTTTTCTGTTCTTTACCAGAATCTGTTTTTCATGTTTTTACTGAGTGTTCTAGATTGGCTCCATTATTTAGGTTGCTTGAAAGACTATTTGGGAATTTAGGTTTTGTTTTTAACAAGACGCTGTTTATATATGGTTGTAAGTATTCAAGAGCGCACAGACAGCAGTGTACTGTGGCAAACTTTATAACTGGACAAGCCAAATTAGCCATTTGGAAGTCTTGCAGACTGGCTGCTGAAGGGCGAAATATAGATGTTGTTCTGCTGTTTATTGCTTTGGTGGAATCTAGAATAAAAGTGGAACATAGATTTTTTCAAATGACAAATAACTTGTTTGAGTTTGAGTTTAAATGGTGTGTAAATGGAGCTTTACTGTCATTTTCTGAGGATGGAGGATTAATGTTTAATTGGTGATGTATGCTGGTCTTTTTGAGTGGAATTTATTTTATTTTTCTTATGAACATTTTTCAATATGATGTGTGAAGTATAAGGAAGTGTTCGTTTTTAAGATGTTTTAATAAAGTGTGTTAAAAGTAAAAAAAAAAAGTCTCTCTCTCTCTCTCTCTCTCTCTCTCTCTCTGTGTCGTTTGTTTTTGTGTATATTTGTTGTCTAGAAATGACAAGGCCCAAATTCAGGCCCTGCCCTTCTTGCCAGACTCCCAATCAGGCAAACAGGAAAACTTGTAATGTTTGTTTTGCAAGCCTGTCCACCAAAAAGAAAATTAAAGAAAAAGTGGTGTCACTGGATAGCCAGTGGGGGGAATCTGTCCTTAAAAGCAGAAATGCTGGGCGTATAATTGATTCTGCCCGTATTGCAGTAAGTAAAAGTGTTAATATTTCATAAGTTAGTGTAACCTGAAGTGAAGCTGAAAGCCTGTGTTTTTCACATACTGAATATCAGACATATACCAATGTGACCTGGCCTTTACTAACATAGTCTTATTTCATACATGGAATAATCCATCTTTAGTACATCTATAGTACTGAAGTTTCTAATAATTCAGTGGGTTTAACTAATGTGTGATAACTGCTTTTGTTCATTTCAGGTGAGTAAACTGGAAGCTGTGGGGTACAAGCCAATTTTATTTATTGGCAAGCCAGACAAAAGGGCTTCGAATAAATGGGTTGCAGATATAATTACACATCTGCACCCCACTCCTGTCACTAAAACTCTTTTGGATAAGATGCGCAGGGCCTATGAATTTATCTTGACAAAATGTAAGTAATTTTTTGGTTTAGAAATTATGAATATTTAAGATACATGTATATTTCTTTGTTAATATGTACAGATTTTAAATTAAAGTAAACTTGTATTATAGCAACCTCCTCAGCACAGCAATCGGAGAGTCAAGCGGCGGCGGAGAGTCAAGCGGCGGAGGGTCAAATGGCAACGGAGGGTCAAATGGCAGTGGAGGGTCAAGCGGCAACGGAGGGTCAAATGGTGGCGGAGGGTCAAGCGGCGGCAGAGGGTCAAATGGCAGCGGAGAGTCAAGCGGCGGCGGGGGGTCAAATGGTGGCGGAGAGTCAAGCGGCGGCGGGGGGTCAAATGGCGGCGGAGAGTCAAGCGGCGACGGAGGGTCAAATGGCGGCGGAGAGTCAAGCGGCGGAGGGTCAAATGGCGGCGGAGGGTCAAATAGCAGTGGAGGGTCAAGCGGCGGCGGAGGGTCAAACGGCGGCGGAGAGTCAAGCGGCGGCGGAGGGTCAAACGGTGGCGGAGAGTCAAGCGGCGGCGGAGGGAGATTCAAGCAGGGGAGATTCAAACCAAGGAGACTGTATTTGTTCTTAACCTTGTTCCTCTGTCTTCCCCACTCTCTCCAACCTCTCTCTCTCCTACTTCCTCTTCTACTTGTACAACTATTCTTCCTTCACTTTCTTCCCCACTTTCACTGCCATGCTCTAAGTCTTTGCGACAAATTAAACGGACAAACACCTCTACCTCTTCACACTATTCTCCCTCTGTCTCTCCTCCATCTCCATCTGCCTCTTCCATCTCCACGTCTTTGAGTCAGGAAGGGCCATGTGTGAAGAACAGAAGAAAAGGTAACTTTTTGCATGGTACATCTTACTCCACACTGTAAATAATTTTGCTCCAGTCAGAGTTGACTTCATGTAAATTGGATTAATTCGGCTAACCGAGTTATTGGTAGCCAGTTTGCAGTATTTAGTTATTTAGCTGTGACCTGACTTAAGGTCCCTTGGACACTGATTCCGAAATTTTGGTTTCACGAGTTCACACTTACAAATAAGTCAGATAGAATAAATGCGTATTTGGCGTGCTGTCCGAGGAGAGGGCTCCGGGCTCGGTATGCGGCCCGAACCCAGAGTACTCCCCCCGTATTGCTGGTTAAGAAGTAACCGGGCGAGTGTGAGGAGACGGGGTGGTGGAGGGATGCTGAAAAACTGTCAAGGAACATTGGTGAGTCAAATGAGTATATATATATATATATATATATATATATATACAGTATATATATATATATAATCAACATGTCTATCCAATCAGCTTGAGTTGGAGACCTATATATATATATATAGGTCTCCAACTCAAGCTGATTGGATAGACATGTTGATTACTGATTGTCGACAGCTGGTTGGAATGATGTGATAATTGGATCAATTATTTGAACGTGCTCCTCCCGAACTTTGTTTATAAAACATCATATGCGTTTTTACGTATTCGTCATTCGGTGGCTCTGAATTGTCAAAACACCACTCAAAATTCTTGCTACTGATCCAAAAACTCATTTTTTTTATAACAGATGAAAGTTTTGTAGGCAGTGTGTAAACGTGATTGACTAAACATTTATTTGTCGTATTTATTTTGTAATGTGCGAAAATTTCGGACGTGAATTTCGGAGTTGGTGTACAAGAACCTTTAAGAGGACTTTGGGAAAACCAATCCTGTACTTTTTGCTTGATTGACAAAAACAGGGACGAATTTACTTTGACCTGAATGGAAAGGACTGCATATCACCTCGAATGTGAAATTATAAATTTGGACTGATTCAGCTACAAATCATGGCTTAATAAACTTTCCTTGTCTTTTCATCAAACTGGCACAGTTTGATCGAATAACTGGGGAACGGATAAATGAGGTAAAATGTGTTCTGTTAGGCTGCTTACTTTTCTAAATGACTGATTCGGACCATTCAAAGATAATAAAACAATATGTTATGCCCTATTCAGTGATTGCTTAAACAGTTCAAATAATTATTATTCGTGTTTGTGTGTAGGGGAAAGCTGAATTGAAAGTCCACTGGTTGCCATGCACTGTGTGGTAAGTCACGTTTCATTAATTATTCAATTCCATGTTGCAATGCAAATTAGTCTATTCCATGATTAATATGATGTAGGGAAAGGCATTTAGAAGTGCTAGATCCCGCAGGTAGGTCCTAGGCAGGTAGTAACCTTTAGGACATGCATTCCGATGATGAAAAATTATGGAATAGTCTTCCAAGCATTCCAAATTCAGACACACTCTCAGTCCAAACTAAAGACAAATATCTGAATTTGGAATGCTCGGAAGACTCTTCCATAATTTTAAAGACAAATGGGAGAATGATCTACCTCCTTGTTTTTATTTAGAATATTCTATTTTTTAGATCCTGGAATTGTGTGATTAACACAATGGATTGTAGGTAACGAGTAGCTGAACCATTCAGTACTTTCTGAGTAATTAATATAGTTCTAAAATTAGCTGACAGACAGCCAATGTATGGACAATAAAATGGTCCTGATGTGATCATGTAAGTGCTACATACATGTAACAAATTACTATTATAATTATCATGGTTTCTGTTTCTAGTAAGTACTCTAGTGGCTAGCTCTAGCTCTGAAATAGCTTATTTATTGAGCCTGCAGGACATCCACTCGGTAAGGCATTACAAAAGTAGCATCATGCACACATAAATTAATCTTTCAGCATCTGAAACACTTATGTGTCATAATTTAGTATTTCTTCTAAGATGGATAATCCTGATGTACATGTGCTGGAAATGTGATTTTCCTCATCCCACTAATGACAACTTAATCCCTCAGTTTATCGGAAACATATTGAAATCAGTACATTTTGAGATACATGGCTTTCAATACAGAAACTGTATGGAACATTGTGTAACAATTAAGTCCAAGTACCTCAAATGTGTTATTAAGTAAATTGAGTAAATGTATTCAGTTACATTCCACCACTGGGCTTAGCCAGGGTTAATGCTACTTTAACAAACATAAATACATTTTGATGAACTATCTAAATTGAACCCAACAGTGATTTAGATTTGTTTTCTCTGTGTTCTAATGATTTTTTTTGCACTTATGATATTTTACAGTGGCAAAACTTGGGATGATACGTGGGAGCCTGCTAGTGAATTCGCACATTTTATGCCTAATTCCCCACATCCCAACCAGCTTTCAGCATGATAGCCTAGTCACCTGGACTCAAGTAGTTTTTTTCTTTTTGTTTTTTTATTTATTTTCTTGCTTTTGTTCATTAAAGTTTTTTGCACAATACCCAGTCTCTTTTTGTGTTTATTTTCTTAATGGTGTTTAAAAAAACAACCTTTTTCATGAACTGGACAGATCATAAGGGAGAAAATTAGTGCTTTTTGACATAATGGAATTTCCAAAGGCATTATTTTTTACATTTTTTTGTTTTAGTATAGGTAAGTCTACTTGAACTATTTGTTTGGTATGCCATGCCATGAATAATAAAAAAAAACAGAATACTCCTTAATATATTAAAATGTCACTTAAATGTTGTAGTCCTGTTTGAAATGTTCAATTACAAAATTAAATATATTAATTTCTTTAACATTTATAATCATAATTGTTATAATTGTAATTACCTATTTATATTTGCCTTGCATTTATTCACAGCAAAATAATGTAAAATTAAACATGTAAATATATATATATATATATATTTATATACATGTAAATATAAATATATATATATATATATATATATATACATGTAAATATATATATATATATATATATATATATATATATATATATATTGTTTTTATTTTGGGGGCAATGTGTTCTTCAAAGGGAAGGGGTTAAAGAAAAGTCTTCATATATTTTGGCACATCACATGAAAAACTAAGGTGAACTATAAGGTAGTGGGCATTCAAGGTGAACACGATGGCATCAATGTACTGATTAGATCATATATAGTTTCCATTGAAGGGGTTTTTGTTAGTCCCTTTTGAATTTGATTAAGAGATTTATTTACATCTGTTCAAAACAAATACTGCAATGCTATAATAACTATCAAGAGTTTGTATTTTTGTAAGATCATATATATTATTATTACATTATACAATAATACATTATACATAAATAATCATGGAAATTAAGCGTTGTATTTCTTTTAATGATAACAACAAAATAAATAAATATCCTGGATTTGCGTACATCAAAAGTCGGAAGAGCCTGTAAATACCAAATGGACAAGTGTGACGTAGCTTTGACGTTTCCATGGCGCCAGCAGGACAAGCTGTGGTTGGACTAACGTTTATGTCAGAATAAAAAGCGCTCCATATCGCAAACTATGTTTTGCTGTCGTTATGACGTCAGTATCAGTTAACAATGAGGTATTGCTATATTGAAAGATATTACACGTTTAGCGAGATCCTAACCCTAACCCTGTAGTGTAACTACACACTTCAATGAACTACAATTTACAGCGCCCGTCCCATTGACACAATGATAGAGGCTTATGGGTAATGTAGTTTAAAAACGTTTTGTAATGGAATTAAATACAATCTTTAATGCACAAAGGGACATCTAAATATGTTCATTATACAAATCTCTTTGACATATTTGAGAATCAGACTGAAATTTGGTATTTTACTGTGAGTTAGAATGCTTTTATAACACCTTTCCATGTATGCCAGACATCTCTGTTCAACATTATATATTAAACATAACAAAAATAATTGTCCTACCAATTTTCACTTCTATACGCTTATCAGACTTTGCATTTGCAGACTTTGCAGAATGTGCTTTTTTTTTTTTTTGCTCTTCCAGGGGTGCTACGGGACCCCTGAGGGAGGAAGGGCAGTAAAACCTACACAGATGTACTCTCTTCATCATGGACAACAAACTGTATTGAGTCACATTTATATCTGCACATTCTTTTTCTTTCCCACCTTTTCTATATTTACATCATGCTTGTGTTTGGTTTTGATCATATTGCAAGACTCTGAACTTGGAATACAAAAATACAGTAATATTTTACAAATGTTTTAAAATAGACTTTTCAGAATTGCTAAAACTAAACCCCCCCAAATTCTTAATAGCCTAATCTAATTTGTAGAATAAATCACTCTTTCTGTAAAACATTAAACAAGTTCAGGTAGTTAAAACACTGTGTTGCAAATCTCATGCAATCTTTTTGCAAAACTCTAAACACATTCTCACTCACTAAAACACACTTTGCACTGTGATGTATTTATGTTTAAAAATGTTGTGGATCAAAGGTGTTGCACAATGTATTTTATATATATGCATGATTACATTTAATTGCTGTTTCTTTTGTGTGAAGTGCTGTGTTTTTTGTTGATTGCTGTGTTTTCTTTGCAAGCAGTATTCCCATAGCCACACCTCCATTTTCTGATAATGCAATGAACTAATAAGTGATGGATTTTGGGGTGGAGCGATGAAATAGGTTCCCCCAGAGCCATAGAGAGAGAGAGTTGCGACACTCCCATAGACCGCCATAGGAACTTTGGAATGCGGAAGTAACGCGTGTCGTGGAGCGGCCAATAGTTCCAAACACTGACAGTTCCCCCATTGAATCCCATTCATTTTCAGTGCTTCCGAAGTACGCTCGCTGGTAAATTAATGAAATTACTGTATTTTTTTACTTTTACACACATTAGCCGACCTCTCGTGAATCTAGTCTGTAGTTATATTTTATGTAGCCAGTTTTAGTAAATGTTTATTGGAAGATAATAGGTTAATTGCAGCGATAGCTTACGCGACCAACACTTCACTAACGTAACTTACGGTAACCTGATGTATATAATATATAATATTTTTAAAAATATTTTATATGTATGTATATATAGCCTATATATAATATTATATATACATACACACACAATTCATTTATTTAAATGGGTTAGGGTTATGCATATGTGCTTATATGTATTTAGGAACATAGTTAATTCACAACTATCTCTCCGGTTTAATTTTATGAAGAATATTTTTCGGTTGAATATTTACCGAACATTGCTGTATATAGTCGTTGCTTTCTACGTTATGGGAGCAGTCTATTTCCCTCCTAAATCATTCATTTGTACATGCACAGCGTAATTATTTATATTTTATGTTGGTCGGAATTCTGACCGGACTGCAGACCTCTTTGCGTGATCACGAAGCGGAATTTATAGGCTAAGCAAAATCACGGGAATCAATAGCCTAATACAGCCCAGTTGTGCTAAAATAAATATCATGAGACGTCCATCATCAGATGAATGACATGGAAAAGTTAAGTTAGAGCCGCTAAAGCCAGTGCTACTACCCATGCGAACATGAACACTAGCGTTTCCCTCCAAAAATATAGCCTATAAACTTATCTAAGTTGTCACCCTGCCTCTCCAAATGCAAAACTGACATTAACAAAATGCAATAACAGCTGAAAAAGTACTTGGGTGTGTGTTTTATTTTATATTTACCGTTTAATAATGCAATCGCTGCTGTCTGTCCATAGAAGAACATGACAGCCCGCGTGTGTTTTGGAACTATTGGGGCTTACATGAACCACGTGACAGCCGTCGCGGCGACATCAAAGCGTGTCGCAACTCTTTCTCTCTATGGCTCTGGGTTCCCCTATAGAAACGTGACAACTGTGACTGAGACGTTGACGCGCATCCGTACTGAAGCCAAACACAGCGAGAGCGAGAAGAGACCACGTTGTGCGGTGCCTGCTTCAGAGAGTGAGTGTTTCACTTGCGGCTTATGGCTATGTGAGATTGCAGCACACTAGACGAGTGACCACGAAGTCGGCGATTTGCGGAGCATTGTCGGAGCAGCAGCGTGGGAGGCGGCTGATGACCGGCTGCGAGAGACTACCGTGAGCGCTGGGAAGACGAGTGGAGAAAACCGACGTGGTTCTTCTGTCGTGAATACATTGGACTGGATAGCAGGGTTGCTGTCGTCATGCTGTGAGTACGTTCTGACTTCTACCGTGCGGTGTGCCTACCAAACCCAGTTTATTGCCTCGTAACGGACGAGAACGAGCCTGCTTTGCATATATTTTACTTGAATGACTTTTTGATCGGCCGATATTTTAAGGGGTCCTAGTTTTATTTAATCAATAAATTGCGTAACTGTTAGATGTGAAGTGGTGTGAGTTGGACGTCGTATGCTGGCAGTTTTTTTTCTCTTCTCTGTGTTCCAGCGTCGAGCAGACACTGGCATCTATGTGGGACTGAGCGTAAATGGACGTCAGCTGTGATACAGATGCCTAGACTAATGCCGCGTTCCAGGCAACCTGTAACCCGTGTTTTTCCAACCTTATACCCGTGAAAGTGCACTGGAACGGCAGTCAAACCCGTGACTTCCCACCCGTGAACTCGTACTAGATCGATGTACTCCCAGTTACGAGTTCTGACGTCACATAGCCCGCAAAACCATACAAAACAACAATGGCAGCCCCTACGGATGCAGTGTTTCTGCAGGCGGTACACAGTGAGAATACACTTTAGGACAATATAACGTTGCAGTCAAATTAATAATAATATAATAATAATGATAATAATACACACAAGATTATGTATTACAATGTTATGTGTCTGAAACAATAAGTATGTATATACACACACGATTTAAAAAAATCAGCATGCTGCGTTCCAGGCAGGTTTTTGAGCACGTAAATCACAACTTCAAACCACGACTCACGACTTTGTAGCATTCCAGGCCAGTCACGCCAAACTACCTGAGCGCAATATACATACTTATTGTTTCAGACACATAACATTGTAATACATAATCTTGTGTGTATTATTATAATTATTATTATATTATTAATTTGACTGCAACGTTATATTGTCCGACCTAAAGTGTATTCTCACTGTGTACTAGGGGTGGTGAAAAAAATCGATTATTGATTAATCGCGAGTATGTTATGGACGAGTATGAATCGATTATTACATTTTCAAAAATCGATTTTTTATTTTATAAAAAAAAAAATTGCATTATTTTATTTTGTAAAAAATGTTATACCAGAAGTTGAACGTCACGAAGTCACGCGCCCAGTTCCAGTTAGCAAGCGCGTGTAACGGCAGCCAGAGCGAGTGAGAGCAGGTGTGCCGGAGACACACTGGCTGCGTGGCGGCGTCTCAGCTGCGTGGTGTGTCCGTTTTTATTTCGGCTCCCATGTTAACAGGTTAGAGCTTGCACACT